GACAACTCGCGTTTGAAATGTTTATTACAGCGGTATAACGTAGATTTTGGCGTCTAGGCTCCAACCTCAAACACCTTAAACCCCCGTAGCTGGAGCTCCATTTGTTTCTAATATTATGTCCCCCTGCATTTACCAATAGCACGGAGAAAAACTATTGGAAACACCTTACAGTTGAATGCAAATCGATACAACAACACCCCAAATGGTAGCTTCGACAGTTACCATCAACAGCAGCTTTTTTTTTGGTTTCACAAATGGATTTGATTTTAATGCGAAGAGCATTCAATTGTCCCGTTGTGCTTCGGATGACTAAGCCTCCTCCTACAAGGACTGATAACAACTCTTCCATTTGTTGTCCTTTTAATGAATACACCTGTTGGACAGTTTTCCTTCTCACATCTGGTTTACTGATAAGCTGTTTTTGTTTAACTCTGCAAATACAATAATTGGTCTGTGAGGAATCACATTTGCAGCGTGCAAAGAAGAGACAACCCCAAAGTTTGTTTGTGTACCGATTTGACAGCAGATTATAGGCGTATGTGGACAGCTGCTCCAGACAGTTAGACTGATCTTACTTGCCTGAGGGTAAAAAAAAGTTTGCTTATCCAGTTGCGCAAAGTCAACTGGTTGGTGCAGCAATAAACCTGCCCAAGTACATGTTTCTTTATCTACTTCACACTCTGTATCAGTGGAATTTAGGTTCATAAAACAAGAGGGCTATAACACAAGGTAGCAATAGACTACTCGTATGTAGTCATTTATTTAATTTTTCATAAATGCATCCTAAATTGGGATGAGAATTAAGATCGCACACTCACAATATGTCATTTAGACTTTAAGTCAATGTCCAAATCCAGTCAAGATTTCTCTGCAGGTCGTTGGGACAGTGTTGGCTTTAATTTTGGTAGTAGAGGAAGAATAAAACCTGGTCTGAAGTCCTCCCTTGGAAGACAAAGACATTATCTGTTGTGATTTCTGCTTCTTGTTTAGACTTTCTTGCTATTTAAAGTTGGCCTTTGGTCCTTGTTATTTCCTGTGACTGAATAGGAGCAGCTCCCATGTTGCTCGTGGGCTTCCTTCAGGTCTAGACACCTGGTCATCGGGTAAACCAAACAGCCCTCACTCATTCACCTGCAATCTTGGTGCACTTTTATAACGGTGAATGCGAGTCTGATTTGGATAAGTGCAAAGTTCAGAGCTTTTTTATAATATTAAGTCTATGCTCACCTGGTTTATTGCAGATATATCTTTTACAGCCTTTTTGTCTGTGACCTAAAATACTGGCATATCACTTCCTCAGTAAGCCACAGGTACTAGTGTGTTACCGGTGTAGGCCAGCATAAATCACATGCTCTTTTATTTATTAGTTTCAAAGGCAGTATATTTTAAGAGCTCTTATATTACAATAAAAAAATATATATATGTGAGCTTGGGTTAGGGTGTCAAACCGCCTGTGTAGGACAGTTATTTAAGTTTTGCATTAATTATAACTTCTTATATGTGTATATTGTGGCCTACTTGTTGCATTTAGATAAGAGTGTAGTGTATTTAGTCTACTGTCCCCTTCAAAACAAATTTCACTTTATAAGCAAATGTCAAATGCTTATCAGCGCTGACATTGTGTTGTGCGGTGCAGTGTGGCAGTAGCATTTAGCAAATAAAGACACCCTTTCTTCCAGATAAGACTAAATGTTATCATAATCTGTATTCTTCACAAATTCTATAATGGGTTTGAAAGTGCTGCCGAGACTACTGTCTTCTTTAAGCCGTAGTGTTTATCTAGCTTATCTTACTTTCTGACATCTCTGCTTTGAGCCACTCTCCAGACTCTCATCTCTCCATTCACACAGGCCACCGGGGTTGTGTTTGAAATAACAATGGGACTGAAGTAAGTGCGGACTTAAGAGCTGGAGGTGGCGATGGCTGAGAATTAATTTTCCCAGGAGGTCAATAACTTCCTCATGGGATGCAGGAGAAATAGAAGGTGGAAGTTGACTTAAATGTTGATGTTGTGTACCTCTTCCTGTTTCAGGGCGACGGAGGAGGAGCAGCAGGCTCAGTCAAAGAAAGGGCTGAAGAAACAGCAGAAGGAAGCAGAGAAAGCAGCAAAGAAGGCTGAGAAACAGGCCAAGCTGGTCAGTGGTGTTTTTGTTTCGTTTTTTTTCTGGTTTGTTGTTTCACATCCGCCCCCCCCCCCCCCCCCC